GCCCATGGTTGTGGCCCCTCCCTGTTCTCCCTTAGGGTGTGATTCCCATGCTGACGGAGTGAGGCCTGGAGCCCATGGTTGTGGCCCAGCCCTGTACTCCCTTAGGGTCCCATGCCGAAAGACCTGGAGCCCATGGTTGTAGCCCCGCCTTGTGCTCCCTAAGGGTGTGGTTCCTATGCTGACGCTCTGGGCTGTGCCTCACCCCGTGCTCACTGGGGGTGTGTGGGTTGCCTTCCGAGGCCTGGAGCCACACCCTGCGGGTTTCGCGAGGAGCGAAGCATGCTTCGGCATGAGGCGGCGAAAACTACGTGACACTTGAGTTACTGTCCAATTAGCCGTGCGGCGGCCTCGCGGGGGGCGGGGCGGGGCGGGGCGGCACAAGTATGCTGTTGCCGTGCCGCTGCTGTGGGCGGCCCCTTGCTTTGCCCGGCACGGCCGCGGCAGGGGAATGCACGTCGTCAAGAGACAGCGCGAGAGGGGAGAAGGTTCAACCACCCGTTGATGGCGCGAAAAAAAAATGTAGCTAAACAGGGTAAATTGGAGTTGGGTCGGGACTTGGAGTGCAAGGCTGGCGGACTACGGGGTGGGGAGGAAGCGAGGGGTGGATAACTCCTGAATTGGGTGTACAAATTTCAAGAATTGAATTTGAATTAGCTTGAATTGGCTTGAATTGAATTTGAATTGGACTGAATTGGTTGAATTGGTTTTGAATTGGTTTGAATTATTGCGATTTTATGTTACTGAATTAGCGTGAATTGGCATGAATTGACTTGAATTGACTGAACATTGTCTTGAATTGGACTGAATTAGTTGAATTAGTTTTGAATGTGTTTGAATTAAATTGAATTGGTCTGAATTAGTTTGAATCTGGCAGAATTAGGGGTGTACACTTGGCAGGGGAGTTATCCACCCCTCGGGAGGAAGGGGGAAGCTGCTGGTCGGACTGTACCGACGCAGTTGTGACACTCATCGCTATATTCCTCGCACCGGCCCCATCCCCCGTCGCAGCAGGTGGGGCCCAATCTGCGAAAAGCAATTACATGCCCTGCCGGCCCGTTGCGGCCTGGGCTGGGCGTGGCGGGGTGGGCGGGCCGCACCGTACGTCGAATCCATGAGAATATTTACGCGGCGCCGCGGCCGCTGCTCGCGCACTGCTCTCCGCCTCGTTCAGCCATTTCCGGAAATAAATGGTGTGTCGTCTATGGCAATACCAACGGCTGTGTGCTCTTCTGCTCGGGATACATATTATTACTGTTGCCGTTTATATTTTGTTGCTCTTTTGTGTTTCTTTTAGCACAAATGGAAGAGCGGGCTTAACCTATTTTCTTTAAAGAATAAAGTACCCCAGTTGTGGTCTTTTCTGACGCATATGTTTTGTTTCTGTCTTTGCAGGCCTCGCCGCAGCCTCGTGGGCGGCTCCAAGGCGGCCGAGGCCAACCTGGACCTCAGGATGCTGGCCGGGGACGCGCTGCCGCTGACGCGCGACTACCGCACCGACCTGGAGTCGCAGCCGCTGCCGCCGGGGCACCCGCCCCCGCTGCCGCTGCACCGCGAGATGGCCGTGGACGTGCCGGACTCGTTCATCGCCCGCTCCAAGACGCCGCCCCGGTACCCGCCGCCCAGACCCGTGGTGAGTACTGTAGCCCGCAGCAGGCCGGGGTCGAGCCGGCGGCCTACCCTCGCGTCGGCAGGCGCCGTCCGCCTGGCTGCCGCAGGAGGAAGGAGGAAGGGAGGAGGGGGAACGTTTTGAGGGCGATCGCAGCGACGGCGCTGAAATCCAACACCCGGCGGTGTTCGGTCGTCGAGCTGCGGTCGAATCTGCTGACTACGTCGGCGGCCTCCGCGGCCCATGGTGCGACGCGGCGCGGGTTCGCGGTCCGTTCAGTCTGCGTGGAGGTGCGAGCAGTAGCGGTGCAGGGCGTAGAGTGCCATGCGGTGCCATGCCCCCGTCGGCCAGCTCCCCTACGCCGCCACCTGTGCCAGCCAGGGCCGCCCTAGGAGCCCCCCCAGGGGCCGCGACTGTCGCCGCAGGGGCAGCCGGAGCCCCAACCGCCCGGAGGGTCCGCATCGCCGCGACGCCGCCCGCCGCGCGTCGCAGAGTGAGTCGCGGTGCCACGTCGACCGTATGGAGTCAGCCGTCCCCGTCGTTTCCTGGGCCACGGACCCCGCCACGGGTCACGCGACGGGTCGCGCCACGGGTCGCGCCACGGGTACCTCCACAGGCACCTCCACGGGCACCTCCACGGGCACCTCCAAGAGCCCCTCCACGGGCCCCACCACGGGCCTCACCACGGGCACCTCCACGGGCCTCACCATGGGCCTCACCATGGGCCTCACCATGGGCCTCACCACGGGCCTCACCACGGGCCTCACCACGGGCCTCACCACGGGCCTCACCACGGGCCTCACCACGGGCCCCACCACGGGCCCCACCACGGGCACCTCCACGAGCACCTCCACGAGCCCCTCCACGAGCCCCTCCACGAACCCCACCACGGGCCTCCTCACCACGGGCCTCCTCACCACGGGCCTCACCACGGGCCCCACCACGGGCCCCACCACGGGCCTCACCACGGGCCGCGCCACGGGCCCGCGGCTGGCTCGGTGCAGCCGCGCCGACAATGTGGTGCATGATCGATCCCATTGCCTGAGCGGCCAGGGGAGGGTGGGGTGGCTTTGACGAGTGCCTGGAGTGCCTTTGAGAGGAGCCTAGTGGAGAGCCCGGCTTGTCGTGGTGCGGCGCCGGCCTGGCGCCGCCCTGGTGACGCCGTGACAAGGGACTGAAGCCGCCGCCGTCGTGGTGCTCGGGTCGTGCCGGAGCCGCTGCTGGGCTGGGATGATGCTGCTTTTAGCCAGGGGTCCGTAACTTAACATAACGAACATGATCGGTTTGTTAAATAATATAACAAAGTCGCAAATAAAACTTTAAGTTAAGTTAGATACGTAACAAATAAGTAATCTGTTATTCCCTTAACATTATATATGTAACCAATTCATTTAACGTTAAAAGCGGCTTCCCTTTATTTAGTGACTTATATCGCACAGGCATGAAATAGAACATAACACTTGAACACTTATCAAAGTAATATTTGATAAATCCATAACAGTTATTTTTTTAAACAAAAGTTATATGTTATTTACGTATCTGTTAAGTGCCATAGTAGGCGTTATCAGTTATCGGGTACAACACTAACGATTAACAAAACGTTATGAGGTCCTTAAATGTTAAGTTACGGACCCCTGCTTTTAGCCGTGCCGTGGGCTAGTGTGCTTGAGCGCCGCGTATCGGCGGAGGATTGGCCGCTGGAGTGGCCAATTTACATGTCACCGCCTTGACGCGACGCCGTGGCCCAGCCCTGTGCGCGCCGTTTTGTGCCGCCAAATCCCTCTTTTCAACCCAACCTGCGCGTTTGGCGCTGGTATGGTGGCCACGAGCACGGTGGATGTGTCAGTGGTGCGGCGCGTTGGCCGCGCGGCGTGCATCTACTGTAAATTGAAGGGTGTGAAATGTAACTAAGTTTTGATAATAGAAGCTGGAAAGGCAACAAGTTTGTCATCTTTGTGGCAACTTACCATTTTTGTCACAAAATAATAAGGTGGTTGCGATGCAAACTAAATCAACAGATATATTTGGTTTAGCTATTTTATGCAACAATAAAATAACAGGTTTAAATTGTGGTGAAATATTTATCGTTGCAAAGAATTTACATCTGTTATTTAAACATAATTTTGCTGGATTTAGTTAGCTAAATGTTTGTCCCAGTTGTCGCCTCATTTGAGGCAACAAAAAAGAGAAGTCACCTTTCAAAAGTGTCGCGCAATGTTGTCAAATTTGATTCCATATCAGTTCCCGCTACAACTTTAATTGCGAAGGTCCCATGTCACCTTAAATCGGCGACGCTCCAATTTATGGAAATGGGCTGACTGTAGATCTCCTCCTCCTTTATCTAGTATGGTAACCTTCTTCGACGACAATTTTGTTTCCAGAAGCTCCGTGTGTGACCGAAAACGACACAAAATTATCACCGTTTCGTTCACACGCAGAGGTCAAACGGCATGTGTCGCAAACAAAAGAGTCACAGGAGAATTGTTCTTTTTCGAAGTGTCGCCACAAAAGACCACAAATTGATTAACAGTGAATATAACATTCCGTCTCTCCCGCAGGGCACGACGGGCACGGGGGTCAACGGGTCGGTGGTGAAGCCAGTGCCGCCGCCGAGGGCGCACCTCCGCATCGAGGAGGACGGGCGACTGGTGAACCGCGCGCCGGCGCCGCAGCTGCCCGCGCGGCCCCCGGACAACAACAACGAACCCGACAAGGAGCCGACGCAGGAGCAGCTCACCGCCATCCGAAAGTACCAGGTAAGCAAAGCACGGCGTTGTGCGGAAGAGGACCGCGTATGGGGTATGGGGACCTCCGCCGAGCCAAGGTCATCAGGTGGAGAGAGAGAGACACCCTCCCCTTTCCCCCATCCC